CATCGTGTCATTTAATAATTGTTTGGTCATGCCAGTGTAGTCTGTCTTGTTCATTATCACCCTAATGCGTTCTTTGTCTGCCGATTGTCTGTCGGATCTGTTGTTGAACCTACTCGGATATTTTGTTTGTTTTTAGGACATACTAATTTGGCTAAATATTCTATATAGGATATGTCTTCGACGTTGAAGTTCTTGTTCAGCTGTGTTGGGTTGGTGCCCAGATGAGCTTTGATCCAAACATCGTACTGGCTCTGTTTGTTTTTTTCGTGAATTTGCGCAATTTTTGTCTATGGCTGTTCTACGTTTGATCTTGGCATTGTCTACTCGGCGTCTGATTGCCGCTTCAATTTCTGCCAAGTGGTGTACAAGATTTTAGCCAGACGATCATTCTTGCTCTCCCTGATTAATCTTTCGTGTTTTCTGATACAATTGTGGGTCTCCGCAATATTAAAATTCATCACTGAGTTGGTAATGTGCAAAAATTAGAGCTCGCGGGGCTGCCAATCATCAACCCAATGCCGTGGATCGGCTAGGTAGGCGACACCTTCGTCATCATGGAACGAGGTTCAGTACACAATGCACACGAACTGCTCAACACCACGTTTGAAGATATTTACTTCACAATCAAACTGGAGAGAAATAACCGACTACCATTCTTGGACGTTTTCCTGAAAAGAAAGGTGGATGGGACTCTGGAAACCGGCGTATACCGGAAGGAGACACATACGGATCAAATACTGAACTACAACAACAATAATTCAGTAAACCACAAGAAGGGCTGCGTCCAGACCCTGTTCAAGAGGGCGGAGACACATGGAAGCACCATAGGACTACGGAAGATGGAAGAAAGCCATCTATTCACGGTACTTCATCATGAGAAGCTTGAAGAAGAGGACATCCCGAAAGCAGCAACAGCAAGCAACAAGTCACCAGACGGGTAGTTCTGTCCTACGTCAAGAATATATCGGCACCCTCAACCAGATGATTAGCTCAAAAAGGAGTCCTCGTGGCCCACAAACCGAATGCCACTGTAAGGAAACTATTCTCAAGACCGAAGGACAACCGAGGCAAAACCAAGAGTAACAATGTGATATACCAAATCAACTGCAACAAATTCTATGATGGCCGAACCGGGAGGAAGTTGCGCACACGAACAAAGAAACACAACGCGGCCATCAGGAGACATGACCCCCTATCCTTGATATCCATGCATGAGGACAAAGGAGGCCACAAATTCAATCTGGGAAGCGCTAGACGTTTAACACACAGAGACACGAGACACGAAAGAGAATGTCTGGAATCATGTCGCTCCACGGCGGACTCGATCTACCGATCCATTGAGCTGGATCCAATTTACGCACCACTACGTGCAAAAGACCAACATCTCAATCGGAATGCTCAAGGAGAACCGAATATCGGATTCACAAACAAAGAAACAAGGAAGTCCTCGGAGTCAAATTAGTGGATGTCACAAGCCGGACCTTGGAAGGGTGAAGAACAGAGGTCACTTTAGCATCGACCAGAGTACGGGGGCAGGGGATTCCAAGTGCAGAGGTCACGTGGGCACGGGTGAACCAGGACACAGCATAACAGAACAATCGATTGAACCGGCCGACCGCCCGACTAACCGCGATCGAAGGTCAACCTCTGTTAGCAGCACGCGTACTAACACGCACGCAACACTAATGGACGCACAACCACCAACCCATTTTTACGCACCATTACGCTCCCTGATAACACACTTTTGATGTCCCCTCGATGATGACTGGTGCAACATTTGCATTCAAACTGCCCAGCTCAGCGAGCAGACCGAGGACCACTCATGAGTAGTGTGTTATGTCCGCAGAATACCGCGATACTGGGATATCAGGCCATCTCGTTCATTGGGCAGCCTGGTGCGGCAAATTCAGTGTCTTAAGAAACTGCGAACAAGTGGTTCCACTGGAATTCAAGTTAATCTCCCTCGAAACTCGAGTTAGTTTGCGAACGAGTTTATCTGTCGAACTTTTGAGTGTGTTTTGTTCGACTATCTGTTCACCAAGCTCGGCAAGAAGGTTTCGATTGTCTCATCACCAATCTACAGGATGTTATCAAGATGCGATTAGTGACATGCTTTGACGTCCTTGCAACATTCAATACATGGGAATGGATGATCGGCTAATTAATGCTAGTACACAAAACAAAAAGCGCTTGGAGGATGAGTGAGCTTCTATAGATCTAAGTGCATCATACTAGCAATCAGACTAGTCTAGATGAAATTTGCTTTGTTCGTCGCTTCTCCGAAAGACACAGGTCGAAATTTTTCGATATTCCTAAGTTTCACGCTACTAATAGGGATGAAACGGCCACACAAAGTTTATGGACATTTCTAGCAGGCCTTCATCCTAGCCTTAACTGCGATTCCTCTCAAACGATGTAGGTATAGGCCAAACTTTTCCTTCAGAAAAAAGTAAGATTGAACTAACCGCCTGGAAACGTGCCAAACCATTAGTCGTTTGCGGTGGTTTTCAAAGCAAAAGACGAAGTCTAAATCGGTGATCTACGCTTGGTATGTTCCGTGCCAGTTTGTCACTTATTTCGACCAACCTGTTTTATACCAAGTACAAAGATGAGGGAGGGGAAAAATCTGTACATCACGTCCATAAACATACTGCACGCCTGTGTCAAGCTCACATACGGAAAAAAGTCATGTGAGCACATACGGATACACTAATAAAAAGAGAGCGAAAAACAGAAACATATAAGAAGGGTTAGATTATATGGATTAGATGAGTGATGAATACTTCCATAAAGGAAACTACTCACAAGGTTGCTGAAAACTCTTCGACAACCTAGGACCGGTTTCACCCTTGTTGGGGTTCATCAGGTAGGTAGTTTTCTTTATAAAAATATACTGCGATATCTCGAATATCGTGCCAACTGAATCATGAGGCGGCCTGTGTGGAGCGCATTCAGTTGTAGAATATCCTGAACGAGAGATTCAGTTGAGTCTCTCGTGAAAACCAAATTGATTTGCAAGTTGGTGTATTTCTCGACGCATACTTCCGTTTCCTGTCACAGTGCATCACTGTTACGGTGATTTTCGAAGCTGTCCCGTCTAATTCCGTCACGGCGCAACGTATCAGCTAATTATAAGGCGCTCTCAGTTTTGGACCTGCGCCAGGGTCAGTACACTGCCAACAGCCCCATCACGCTCGCGTCACATTTGACTCTGCTCTGCACCACAACTGTCCGAGGTCGGAGAGTTCAGCTCACATATGAATAAAAGTACTGGAGGCTTAAGGAGACAAGGTAAAGAACTTCTGTAAGCCCCGAAGGCTGGACGCATGGGGACATGATCTTCGGGCCAATGCATTACAGACTGCAATGAACTCAGTCCGTTTTGAAAACTTTTAGTTTGCCATGCACATGGCTGAGACACGTCACTGGGTCACCATGAATCAAAGGAAAGACTGGGCAGTTTTTGGCTCGTACAGGCTTGTTCGGGTGAGTAATGACCATAGAGCACTGCCTCTGCAAAGTCTGGATTGAAGTGGCAACGTGGGACTGGATAGAAGGTAATCAGCTAGAAGCCAATAAGCTCCAAAAATGCTCTTTTAGTTGTTACTAACCCAATGGCGATCAGACTGAAAAAAAATTATGATGTGGATATGGGAAAAATGAGACAGAAGTTCGGAATGAGGCCCATCAGGCTTAAGTTGGCCATATTCACATCACTCACGTATGAACATTCGTCCTCCCATACTGGTGAGTCCAAACCAAAGAGGGAAGCACTGGACTTGAGTTTCACTCTTGTTAGAGCTCGCCGGCAGTGCCGGACACCTGAGATGCGAGGCGAACGCGTTACCACTACTCCACCAGTGCATGTTGCACGTCTGAACGGGCGAGCGTGTTTACACTTGAGTGATGGGATTGGTGTGCCCGACACATCATCGAAACGACGATTCAGTGACTGTCCTGACGATCGATTGACCCACTGTCAGGGCTTCCCAGTCAGGTAGCACCACAGACGCCTGAAACCCGCTGGACAACTTTTCTTGATATCTGTTGTGGGATTTGTGGGACATGTATTGTTCATATTCACATCACTCTCGTTTGAACAGTCGCTCTCATGTCCTGGCGTAGTTATACTGGTGAGTCCGCACCAAAGGGTCGATAAGCTCTAATAAGAGCGAAACTCGAGTCCAGTGCTTCCCCTATTGGGTGTGGACTCACCAGAATAACTACACCAGGGCAGGAGGACGAGTGTTAAAACGAGAGTGATGTGAATATGACCAATACGTACTCAGCAAACCCCACAGCAGATATTACGTTAGTTAGATCATTTGCATGTGTACGTCAGTTTGGATTACCAAATCAGCAGGATACATATGCATTCGTTTACCGTATCCAATTATGAAATATATATATATATATATATATATATATATGATCCCATTAAAGGGGATGGATTTCATCCCAGCACTTTTCAAAACTTGGAGGTCCCCCTGGAGCCCTAAATTAATGGCACAGTGCCAAAGTGATTTATCGTGATGTTCGTTCATCTTACATGATCATGACCCGAAGAAAGATGAGTTCAATCTCCGATTGATAATCAAGATCACGACCTCAACATATCCAGTATTCAGTGACCGGAGACAAGAAACCGGGTAGCAACAAAGAGTGAGTTTTTTCGACAAACTTCACCTGTCAGCGGAATCCGGTTGAACGACTGTTCACAGAACAAAGTTGTCTCAACAGGGACCTTCTTTTTTTAAGGGACTGAGTTTCATTCCGAATCGATAGGATCAATGCACCTTCATCGACGTGACTAAAGTTCATCCTTTTTTAGCATCATATTATGGGTAGTCTGAGTAACTGCAAACAGCACATGCGTCTGTATAGGAATCAGAATAGGTAAACCTATTTACAAAGATGGAATGTAAACCTGACTGAGGTGGGTTCATCAAGATGTTGGAATCCTCACGATTACCCATCCTCAAAATGAGTAGACACGTGCGATGACTGAATTGAACAACCTAGTGGTTTGCGACTTCCACGGCACACAGAGTTGTTGCCAAAATCTTGGACTGTCCAAATTTTGGTCTTGCTATCTACGCGATCGTGATGATGAGAACGTTGATGATGAGAGAACGTTGGTTTCCATCAGTCTAATTGCCTGGATCAGACGGAAAGTCTACACCGTAGAAATCCCGTCGAATATTGCTGGATGTGATCCAGCCTTCTGAGTTTCCATTTACGCTTGAGTAGACTGTCTTTCCTAGGGACTCAAGACCTACTTGCGTTCGTATTTCCGGTGACCTGTTTCAGCCATGCGCATAAGCACGGGAGGCGTGCGGTAGATCCATTGGAAAACGGTAATTCTGCTCAACAGGCTGCGTTTTGCAGTCCGAGATTCAAGTCTGCTTTCGCGCTTGCATCTAGCTTTCTCGGCTCAAAGAAGTTCCCTAATTTGCATTTTCGAGCCTTAACTAATGGGTGAGCTGAACTCAGTAATCTCTGACAGTTGTGTAACATAGGAGTCGAAACTGACGCGAGTGGGATTGGGACTGGCGGTAGCTTAGCGCCACCGTTCCTGGTGCACGTCCGAGGTCGACAGTATCTTATAGTTAGCTGGCTCATTACGCCATGGCGAAATTAAATGAGACAGTTCAATTAGTTGAAACGCCACGTTTACACTCCTCATTACCAGTCCAATGTACTCATGCGAACTGGTCGCTCACCACCTATCAGCAAGCTCGTGTCTGGTCACCTAATTATTGCGACGTCTGACGTCTATGGGTCAGCTGATGGACTTGTAGAGAACGACTCGCTTCCGCTGGTCTTCGGTTGGACGCTGGGGGGTCTGATTACCTCCGGTGAAATATGTTTTATAGTTACCGGTCACAGATGGTTTCATTTCCTCCGTTATTTGCATGAATGTGTCCATCGGTGTCAAGTCTTTCTGTAGCGAATTGCGCATCTCGTGGTAGTCGTTCTGTCAGCGAGACTCCAAATACGCCCCCTTTTCAGGCAATGTCAAATGTTTCTTTAGGTCCATCCCAACCTATGGTCTCATCAATGGCAATGCACACAGCAACCATACCTACTCTACAGACTAAACAGACCAAATAGACCCTTTGAATTCCGCCAGTATCCCAACATCTTCGATGGTGCATTAAGGTACGGTTGCTTCTGACACGTTCGAGACCTTTGTATGAAGCAGCGAGCCCAGACCAACACCAGCCAGTCAATGTCGCGAAGCAACTGCACCGATGGCTGAAAGCAAGCTCTTGCCGATACTCTATCGTAGAGACAGCGATGATGACCAGCTGTACAAATATATATATATATATATATATATATCAATGAATGGACCAAGTGGGTTGATCTGAAAAGTGGTCTCATTAAGTTACGTAGACAACAACAACAACGATAATCGTATGTCAAGCCACAATCACTGCACGGTAGCTTGCTTGCGAATTATGCTTAATTTTTCCTGATGTCGTTAGGTGCCGATACTGGAATATCACCAATGGACATAACTAGCTAGTGCAATTACAGGCTTCACGACTCAGTGTGCCGATTCGAATGACTGGTGAATGGAGACAACAGGTGTGCGTCGGACAGGAACGTCACCCAGTCAAGTCATACACTCCTCTCTGCCTACTCTCACGCGCTTCAGCTTCAACTCCAATGTCTTCAACCTTATGTGATAGACGCTATTGGTCATTGCTCTGTCTTGATCACGCCGTGAATGCTGTATCCACATTTTCTTATGGTTCATGAAAGAGGCTGCCGTTTGAATTGGTCGTGGTTCTCTCTCTCCAGTAACACTTACATACTAGTCGTCAGAATAGTCCACATCATCTCTCATTTGCAGTCAACCTAGCCAGCGATTATACTGACGGCTCATATGACACAAGTTCTGTCAAACAGTGAACTCCTCAATAGGGATTATCAGTGGGACTTGGTCGAACAGGTATGTCCTTGGACGGAATGTCTATATCTGAGAGGGTCAACTAAATCCCTGATGTTATAAATGCTTCGCTTCTTTCAGCCTGCTGACTTTTTACATTCTAGTTTACCCTCTCTCTCTCTGTCTGACGCCTTCGAAATACAATTATCGCAAAATTAACGGAAGCTTGTTAACTGAAGCACGTACCCTGTAACTTTTCACATATTCCTTTTATTTGTGGTTCGTCTTTCCATTTTGCCTCAAATTTTTGGACTCGTCGTCCTCAGTTCCATCACCTAGTACAAAAGATTAACTACGGTAAGGTGTCGAGTATGAATTCCCAGTTAAACGACTGTTGGCATACTGGTTACTTATGACGGCCATGTATTCAAACGCTGTACAGTAGTGGGAGTACCAGCTTCACCCCGTTGTCATATATACCGCCGCACGGTCGATAGTCGAATCTGGATGAAACTGAACTGAACTAAACTAATCTAGACTAACTTTGAGAAGTACTCTTATGTGTAAACTAATTTGGTTTTGCGAGAGACTCACCTGGAACCCATAAGACCTCGTGTGCAGGCGTTTTTGTCAAGCATTACCCCAAGGCGATGGGATGTGAAGAGTTGAAAAAACAGCAATTAGTCAAAGGTCATTTGGTGTCTTCTCAAGTGGAGTGATAATTATGGGTATTATGCTCAGTCAGACTAAGATTTAGGAGCTTACACACGGCAGTTTCAAATTGGCAAGTTGATATCCCCCCGTGGCGTGTGAGGATGGTTCTTGGGTCAAAATTGAGACTGCATATGTGTGGATTTGGAAATCATGTGAGTATGGTGAGTTTCACGAGGACAGCCTGGACGATCAAGTTATAGAATGATCGGAAACCCGATTGTCAAGTTGCTGTGATCGTTCTATTTTCAACAAAACAAGAGGCTACCGGTACAGTAACAGTGAGGAAAACTTAAGGTGAACTAGGACATGCAAGATGCACATCAATTACCGACTGGAAGAATTAGCTCTGGAGTGACGCGCGTGCAGTGTGATTGGAAAGACAAATGACGAACAGTTTTGGTTTTGGGGTATATCGTCCTCAGGTCAGTACCGATCGGATGATTACATGGCTAAACAGTACGAATTAAGCAGTAAAGTTCACACAACACAATGTTGTGTGGACGAAGAAATGACTGGTAGACCAGAAGGCCAATTGGTTGGACGCCGCACCACCTGCCTTGTTAGTGCGTGTGTGCGCCAGATTGCCAAATGACCAAATAACCTCTGGTGACGCAAGGCTGGATTACGTAAGAGTATTAGATCAGCTTCGATCGTAGCCAAGCGACCCCTCTGAATCAAACATGTTAGTCGGTTCCCGGTAGATTACTCAAAACGTCTCAACAGTATGGCTCGAGTCAACTTAGTGCAAGAAGACTGCACTGACTCTACTGTTAATCTAAGAAGGAATGTACTCTCGTACCCTCTTCTAATTTTACGGGGAAAAGAGTACACAATCATTCGCCGAATGCACTCATCTGCACACCAAGTTGGTTTGAACCAAAGACGCGACTTAATCCCACCCGAATCCCTCATTTATGATATTGTTCCATTGAATGTGCTGCACAAAGATGGCCTCATGTTCCAGTTGGTACGACGTTCGAGATGGCGTAGTTTGGCTTCTTGAAGAAGACTGCAGACAAGGTTGCTTAAACCTATTCAACTGTTCACGACCCGTTTCATCTTTCCCATTCGGGCTTATTAGGTAGGCGTAATTTTCATCAACCGTATTTTCCACTATAATCTAATTATATGAAATTCGCGAACTGCCCTCATTTGCTCACCAGTTTTGTTTTACGGGAGACTCTTTGGCAGTCCAGCGAAATTCCTTTAACCAGATCATTGCTCAGTGGCTGGTAGATATTTTAGTACATGTACGTCAGCCTGACTGTCGAAGCATTATCCATGATACATTTGGATTCATTGTACTGATGATGATGATATCAATGCCAATGTGCTCATGCGATATCATCTCCATTTTTAAGGATGTTTCGTATATAACACTCCCAGTGCCATCTGTTTCGTTGAATAAACGGCCTTTACGCTGCACTTTTAGTGTACGGGCTAAAAGATGATGAGCATTTGTACAAAAGTTATGTAGATGATGTGTCCAGTACGGACGAAGTGACCAATCAAGCTCATCTGGCTATACTGTTTACGATCGATTCAGAAACAAACAAAATTGTTGGTTCACCTCTTGGACTAGAGGATTGTTCATTACAGAGGAACATGGGAGCCAGCTTGGCCTGGTCCGTAGACGGATTCCAGCAGCTTGACACTTTTGGGAAATGAACTGGCATGGACAACCCTTTCTGGAAAGTCTCGTTGGCAGAAACACCAGTCAGGTCGGCCATCATGACGATTGGCTGTCAAAATTGATCTGCGGGCACAAACAAACAGCCCCGGTTCATTCAGTCAGCAAGAAAGGCTTAGAATGGTACACTCATTTACGACACAGCCGACTTACCTCTCATGTTGACCATCGTAGGATTTGCTCTGCACAAAAGTGACCGTAGACTGATCAATTTGCCTCTCACATAGTCGATGAGATCTCCTACAGTCGCGGAGACACTTAATTTGGTAGTACGGACAGGTAGCTACTGGAAAATGTGGCCTAGCGCATTCCAAAGTTGTGGGAATTGTGGAATATGTATTGCGGCGCTATCTGACTGAGAAGTCCTGACAGGATGATCAATCGATCATCACGGTTAGGACAGTTGCTGTGTCGTAATTACGATGATGTGTTGGGCACACCAATTACGTCACTCAACCGTTCACCCGTCCAGACGTGCGCTGGTGGAGTGGTGGTAACACGCTCGCCTCGTATGTCAAGCGTCCGGAGTTCAACCCCTAGCTGATGAGCTCTAATAAGAGCGAAACTTCTCCCTTTGGTATGGACTCACCAGAATAATTACGCCACAACAGGAGGACAACTGTTCAAACTAGAGTGCTGCGGCTATGGACATTCCAAAGTATGTAATCCGGACACTGTCAGGATCAAGTCACAGTCCTGCGTCTTCAATAGGCAGACATCTATTGGCTGCTAGCCATCAACTCCTTATGAAATATGTTGCCGAACAGAAACAGCGATAAACGAAGCGCGGCTGATCAGATCAAACCGGTCCAGACTACGTCCGCAAAATGGATGAAGTGTTTCCACTATTTTAACATACGGCACTGCATGCCTTCTGTGAGTTCTATTCCGATTTAAAGACGTGACTTGACGACGATCGAAGCTGC